TTTTAGCGGACAAATCATGCTGGAAAAATTAGTGCTTGCGTTTTAAATTTGATAAAGTGCACTTGTCTAACTTATTTAATTTGACTATTGCAAATGTAACATCTATAAATTATTAAGGCAAAAAACATGACACTTGCTTACTTCGACACTGACCATAACACGACCTAAATTTTTAAACTTACCCAATATTGAGATCGTGTTCAGTATCATCAAGCCATACGCGTACTTGAAACGTATTACCCTCACGTACCCAACCAAATACATCTTCCATTATAATGGGTACATTTGGCTTATGTGAATGGTAATTACTTGCAAGAGACATGTCCAACAAGTAATACGATTATTTCAATCCCAAATAATCCAATGCAGTTAATAAGTATCGGCAACAATAGTTCTTCATTCACATATACATTGATGGATATGACCTGAACCAGTAAGAGCCATACGGAAAGCACGGCAAGCCAAAATCTGAAAACTTTGGCTGGAAACCAATTACATTTAAACAATGATCAGAAATGATTCGTTAAGTCGCATCGCAAAATCACTTAAATATAAGAAAAGGCGCTCTCACTCATCATAGCTTTTTATAAAGCTCTATCAACTTACAGGCAGTAGAAAAACCACCAAATCTTATAAACCTTTCATATCTTTTGATCTCGGGTGAGTTTCTGGAAATCTAACAATAGAAAAAGTTCATCAAGTAACAATTCCAAGACGCTCAATCTGAAAAATGACATATTTTAAAAGTCAGAAAAACTTTAATGTAAAAGAACTTTGACAAACTGACCCCAACGAAGATATATTAACTAGCAAAACTTGAAATCGGCATATAAAGATTTTTTCAGAATGAATACAACTTTTGAATCTATCTGAAGCCCAGCTAATGATGGTTTTGTGATTCTCTAGCAATGGATTGGTAATTTTGTCATCGAGAGTTCCTCCAAAATTCTAATAAAAAGTCGCTCAATGCATAGTATGGAAAACATATAAGTACTACATGCCGTTTACTAGATTTACAAAGACTAAGAACTAAGAATATATCAAATTGAACTGATTAATTGATCCCTCCTTCAACTTCCCTCATATGTCGGAACTTTCGACTATAATGCTTTATTTCCCAATAATAACGTGAAACCTTCTGATTCCTAAAATATCTGAAATTTTCATACTTAAATACCCTTACGAATATATTCATAGTTAAAATCGAGTAATCAAAAAAACGATGATTGTTTCTAATTCTTTTCTCACTCAGATATGTATGCATAAAAATATGAACTTTGTTCCGGAAATGAGTTAACATTATTATTTGGAAATGAAGCATTAATGTTGGTATTTCGGACTTGAATTTAAATTGTTGATAAGTTGAGATTTGTAGTAAATAAATATGTAGCAAAAAAAGTGGAGAAAGTGAAAACAAGAAATGGAGCGAAACAATGCAAACATAAACATCAAAAAAATTAAAACAAGCAAATAATCATAGAGCTCATTTAAACTATAAAATAAAAAAATAAAAATCTGAAGGGCAATATCTGAAACTATGCAGGAGAAAATTTACCATTCATATTGTAAGATGAAAAATTATGAATGGTGGCGGATAGTATGTCTATTATGTTTCAAGTGGGACGTTCAAAAAGATAATTAAAAAAGCTTAGCAGAGAATTGAGAGAAGAAAATGGAGAGTGTATAGTTGAAGGTAACGAAATTTCGAAAGTGAAAATAGAAAGATTGTTGAACAGGGAAAGCAGCAACTTAGTAATGAAATAACAAATGAGAAGAAAAGTTCAAAAGTCCCATGTACGTAAAAAAATTCGAGAAGCATTGCTAAAAATATTTCAGTACATTTCGCTTAAAACAAAACTATTTCAAAGATACTGAAGGATAAAAAAGAGAGAGGAAAAGATAAGGAAGGAGAGAGAGGATGAAAGAGAAAGAAAATGGCGAATGTTAAGTAGAATGTTATTAAGTTTCATGTAAAAGATTGAAATGGCAATTTGTAAGATGCGGCTGTAATTGTAAGTAGAATGGATAGACATAGACATACACATACACATATACATGTACATGTACATACCTTTGTAGATGCTTTTCCTTGCTGCTTGGAAGATTTCATTGAAGAGGACGTGAACGCCAGCTGTTCGTTTAAATGATGCCAACTGCCACCACAATCGTCGTCAAGTCATATTCTATCAGAATGCCCTGCTCTTGCTATTGCTGCTGTTACTGATGATATTACTACACATCGGGTGGAGAGAGATATTGGAAGAGTGAAAAAGGGTGCCGTGTGTTTCGGTAGCTATGAGAGGGTAGGGTTAAACATAAATTAGATAAATGTATCGAAGCGGAAGAGGGGTCTGCGAGATCACTCACGTTCTTATGCCACAAAAACTTTTACGATTCTCTTTCTATCTCTCTCAATGTATACGCTAACTATCATTAATGCATTCCAATGGTCAACCTAAAATTTTATTTACTGAAATCGAGATAAGAAAGGGAAGTACAGCTTTACACTGTTATATATTTACTTTAACACTCACACACACTCGTCCCACACATACACACACGCATAAACTCCAAGAGTTAATGATGTAGATGAAAGAGAGAGAGAGAAAAAGAAAAAGAGACAAGCGATAAGGATAGAATTGATTAACCTTCAATAATTTCTAATAAATTATCTTCAGGCAAAACGAATCGTAATAGAAATGTTAAGTTATCAGTAATTTCTATATCTCAGATTGAATATAGATTCATGAAGATAAACATCAAGAAAAGATTCATTCAACATCAAAGCAAATGACCCTATAAGTTCATCTTAACATGCATATACATATACACTATCAATTGTCGTATATATCGTCGACATAAGTTAGAATGAAATTGTGAAACTAAACTACTTAAGAATACATTCCTTATTATGATGGCGCATCTTTCAATTATATATATATAAAGCGAAAATTTCTCTCTCATCTCAATTATTCTTTCATTCTATTGAATTTACTACAACCTTGTTGCTATTAATAAACGCTCGATATTGTTTCAGATTTGTATTTGCAGATGCTAAAATTATCCCTTGCACAGTATAAATTCAAAAAGCCTTGACAGTAAGTAGAATATAGTACCTTCTTCTATCCGATTGTTTCCACTATAATTATTCGCCTATCCCTTCTGTAATATTCAATTTACTATATTGATGGAACGTCGAATTGAACGGAAAAGTGAACTTCCATTGGCTGCAATTGTGATTTTCTGGTTTCATATTCCTTTTTTCCGAATCTCTTTTTATTTTCTTCTTTTTTTTTCCACGAATTCAATGGCTGGATAAAAGGAAAAGATTATTGAGAATTTGATAGATAACGTTACTGTAGATCATCATCCTACAATTATGCATCACCTGAGGAAACATCTATCCACCCTCATCAAATCCTCAGAATTAATTCTCTTCAAAAGAAAGAAAAAAAAGGAGTTAATTACTGATTGGTATCAATAACTTACTACGTGAAATTTAACTTAGAGAAAAATTGAGATGATATTGAACATGTTTATTATTCCACATAGTAGAATGGCTGATACTGACATTGAAAATCATTTCCAATGGCTTGTAGCAACACATTTGCATACATTTTTAAATTTATTCCACTTCCATTACAATGCACCAGATGATTGATTGTACATGATCTTTTTGATAATGTTCATAGTGGCTGCCGTTTCAAATCAATAGGCGATCAAATCAGAAAAAAAGTTGAAATACAAAATCGCAGTGCTTCCAAAAGTTATGAGGTGCATCTGATGGACTAGGAATTCAGAATTCCAGAGAGACAATTCGAATGGAACAGAAATTCTATTATAGAATCAGTGGATGGTCAATGTTTTCAACATTTATTACACTAACTAAATATTAAAAAAAGTATACTGAAATCGATCTGTGCTTTATTAGAATAATTCTCAATACCTTACTGTTAGCACTAAAAACTTTGCAACGTTTAGTTCAACATTACAATAAACAAAGTATAGTGAAGAAAAAAAATTTTGATGCTTGTAATTCAATATGAAATTAGAACTATGAATATAATAAACGAAAAAGAAAGCTTATAAAGAGAGCTTCCACTGAGAATGAAAGAAGAGAATGTGTAAAGCGTTGAGCTTTTTTGACTCATTTAATGGCTAAATTAATTAATCAAAATGGAATAATTAAAATTAAGTTAAAACACAAAGTTAAAAAGTTCAATCAGAATAAGGATGAAGAAACGAAGAATAATGTAAAAAAAATACAACTTCTGGATCAAAATTACTAGCACAAACAGCTTTTGCATAAACTAAATAGACAAAGCAAATGCAAAAATTATAGAAGTGATGATAAAAATAAACTCAGATCAGAATGGCAGTTCATCTGCAATCATTTCCATCAATATGATAATTTCATGTCGAAAGTACCGGGAAATACGGGAAATCTACAACATGTTACCGATACCACTGGACATCGTTTAAATCACATAATCATCGAATTACCCTGGCTATTTGTCACTCAACCCGTAGATTAGATCCCGAATGTTTCGAAATGATTGGAGTTGGGAAATTCGAAAAGTTGTTTAGGAGTGATGGGATCGGTGGGATTGTGTTTGAGAAGAATGGACTGACTAGAAAAGTTAGCAAAAAGAGCGTTATTGGATGTTTTAACAATTAGAAGAAGTAAAACGGAACATTCAAAATAAGAAGACGGCAAATGATTGCTAGATTTTTATGTGTGTTGTAATAGAAGAGATAATTGAGATTGCTTCCTGATAAAGAGTTAAGAATATTAGTGAGGAATGGTAGAGTAATAAGTCTGTCTTGAGATTAATCGAAGAATTACTGTCCTAAATCATTGTTAAACTGTAAGATTTAAAGCGATTAGATAAATGAATTGATAGCATTGAAGTAATGCGTTAATATCCATACAAATTACTAATATTTGGAAAAATCATTTATAGGTTAACCAATTTGTCGGAACAGGAAACAGGATTCGAATGTACGGTTCATCACCAGGGCATAGCGAAGATGTCTTAATATCTGCAGATGGTCTTACTGCAATGGTTAAAATTTAAAATTTCATTATTCCATTTCTTAAAGTTCACAAAATTCGGAAGATTTAATAGTTTAAATTATTTAAATTTACTAATAATATAATTTAGCTTGGAACATCATTTTTCCATCTTTTTGATAACATAACATTCAAGCGATATTAAAAAGGAAAAGATTTAAATGTCACTGATTGTAGCTTTTTCAGAATAACGAAGCTCGTATACCGGAAGGTGGATTCGCATTACTATCAACAACACCGCAGAGTGCAACACTTGCGCATTTCATTTCAGCACTTACATTCGATCCATACCAAGAACTTCTTTGGACCGGAAATAATATGGTGATCTGAAATTTATTTACGGAATGAATATTTCCAATTCATTGTAAAAGGGGAAAAATGGTTGTGGGAAAAGCTTTCAAATTTTAGAATTAGATTTATCCCATTGTCTTTAGGAGCAAAACAATCATCATGGATGCGAACTGGTTTATTTTACCGTAATTAAAGAGGAATAATTTTGATTTTTATTCATACTAAAAGACTGTATGAAAGCAAAACATTATTTGCTCTGAATTTCTACTTCTGATTTCGAGAAGAGAAAATATTGGAGCATTGAACCGTAGATTCATAAATGTACCACCGATCATAATGCTACTTGCATAACTTCATTTACTTCTTTTATAAGATTCAAAACAAAAATGTTTATACATTTGTGAATTTGTACAAACAAAATTGAGGCAGATGAATTTACCCATTTTTCTGGTACGTTATGCAGTTTCACACTTCTAGGGACGTGTGGTGTCGTTTTATGGTGCACAGCTTGACAAGTACACGGCATTTTTATCAGCAGCTAATTCAAATATTCGTTCATTGCTTGCGTCAGAAACTGTTATTTTCTCACTAACATCCAAGCGTTTAAAAGCTAATCGTCGAGAAGGCATTTCGTTATTTACACATACGTAAGTTTTATTCATTAAAATTTTTTAGTCACAGAAATTTATTAGTGGTATTTGCGAGAGTGGTATGTACAGCTGATTTATGCTATCTCCGAGTTTTCTTGAAGTTAGCCGTCAGCTTCAGTTAATAAGTTACATTAATAGAAATAAGACGAAATAAAATATAAATTGTGACACGTCAATATTAAACACAGATTTATATATTTTTTCAGGTCCGACCACATGATTGACCTTACCTGCATGCATCGACTTTCAGATGCACCGCATAAATTACTTCTAGGTGGAAATCAGCAACAAATCATACAGTTTGATGTGGAAACACAAAAAGAAATACGAATTGTCTGATTTTTCAAAATTTCAATATTAAATTTTATTATGGAAATTAAATTTGGCTGAGTATTCTAATCGCCAGAGGCCTAATCACTGAAATACAGATTAAATATTCTTTGAAAGATTTGATAGAAATATTATTTTCAGGTTTCTGTTAAACAGAAAAACTGCTTGGCTTTGCGATCAAATCAAAAATTTTTATTCAGTTCTGATTCGGAAGGAAACGTGAGTTTCAATTGACAGTTCCTCAATTTTTCTGGATTTCTCATTTGTTTCTTACTAGAGAAAGAGCATTATGAAATATTTTCTACTCGATCCTTTTTTAGATAACACTCCGTCACCTTACAACAGTGGATGCAATCCATGCCTTGCAAGCTCATCAGGGATCAGTAGCTGATTTTGATGTTTGCGGCAATAAGCTTATTACATGCGGTTACTCTCCAAGGTTTGTATTCATTCCAATTGATCGAATAAAAATAACTTTGGCGCCTCAATAATTTCCGTAATGTTTAATTGTAATCATACTTTCAGTCTAACTCTTCGGGATTCTGCCATTAGTGCATACTATATATCACATAATTTCATAGCCATTTTAAACTCTTCAGCTTATTTGCATTATTATACAAAAATAGTTAAGCATGCTGTTTTTCTAGGCTTGATATTATCAATAATTAAACTATTCATGAAATAATACAGCTTAATGCACACTTTTCATTACAGATTGGGTAAAATGGCAGGTGATCGATTCATAATGATTTATGATTTAAGAACACTGCGTAGTTTGCCCCCGATACCTTTACCATTGTCTCCATCATACTGCAGATTTCTACCGTCTTATTCGGATGGTCGGATTATGGTTTGCTCTCAAGTATGTTTATTTATATTTTTTGAATTTGAAGTTTTCAGAATGGCGAATATTACTGAAACACAAATTTTTTGCAGCCACTTTTTTTGAAAATAATGCATGTAGCACTACGAAATTATTGCATAAGAATTAACATTGGAGCAGATATTTTTCTTTCTTAGAATGGTGAATTGATCATAATGGACTTGAATGAGCAATCTAGTCAGATGCCTATTCAGTTGGATACAAATGGCTTTGCCATTACATCTCTTGATGTATCCACTTCGAAGCAATGCATATCTTTCGGTGATCAAACGGGTAGGTCAAATTTTTTTTGTGGACATAAAATTTAGTTGGATAATTCTACAAGCAACGCTGAATATAGTTAAATAAAGTTAATTTACGAACAAAGTCTATTGAGAGAAAACTTTTTTGTATTTCAATAGGCGATACGGTGCTCCTAAAAAAGAAATGGAAAGACACAGTCTAAGTCAGTCAAGTAATTCAGCAGGATAGCAGCATTTATGTTTTAGCCGTCCGTAGTTTGGCGCTATTTGAAGACTTTCAGGTTTGATACACCTCTTTTCGGATCGAATGGAACCGATTTTTAATGAAAATTCGTGGGGAACAGATTTTCCAGATCCAGTAAGTAGAGTATATTCTTTGTAAATGAATATTCCTATCTAACTGTATTTCTAGGAATCATGGACATTCTAGAAGCGGATGACTGGTTTTCTTTAGAACGTGGTGATGTTTATCTTGTTTGACGTTCAGTTCTATTTTACAATTACTGGTGTGAACGATTTTTATGTTTGAGATTTCAGTTAAAATTCTTTTTCAGGTTGCCTTTCATCCACCTGTGAACATCGAGGATCCCGAGCCCTCATACGGGGTTTTTCCTCTTCCGTTTCCAATGGATGATCATTACGCCTCAGACTGGCCTGAACAGTTGTGCATTAGACGGTTTAGGTATATTTTCTTTGCACCATCTCATAACTTTGCCAGACATTCGGACTTGGATTTACGAATATAGTTTTCAAAAAATTTACTAATGAAGACAATTTTCAAACATTAAGGTAATGCCTAAATGGACAGTTTTCATCGTTATTTTTTTTGTTTCAGACAGCCGGATCCTATATCAGAAAAGGTGATTGATTCAATGCGAATGGTGCAGTTTGTTGGATATGCTCATAATCCTCGCGCTGGTACACCATTACGCGGCTTCAACGTTTGCCCGTATAAAAGTTCTGCTCATGATAAATGCTTCTCAAGTGGTAATTTCGATTTTACAATATTGTAGTCCTACAGACAAATCCAAAGCTTGTTGGCAGTAGCATCAGTTGTTTTTTTGTTTTGACATCTCTCTAGCATGGAGTGCTGCTACTCAATCTTTTAGCTCTCAGAAATTAATTTTAATTGGTGCTTCCTGTGTCTGTTTCATTTAACGTTAAAGTTTACTTAATCATCTTCAAATGTTCTCGTACTAGTTTCCTGTATTACGTTCGATTATTGGTAAATATCCCAAGGATTTGATAAAATTTTTTTCAGCAATGAAGAGTGATGAACTGCTTGACATTCCGAAGTTTTATTTGCGTACCGAAGGAAGGTTAACATTTAAGGCTGAAGAAATTGATTTTAAGCGATATAATCGCACTGAATTCAACGCATTAGAAAATACTGTCGAAACAAGTCCCGCATGCATGCTACTGCTTGTAATTCATATTTGCTTGTAATTCTTGTAATTTACGATTATTTTATACATTTTACTCTCTTTTGTTTTTATATTTGCTGGTTTACTTACGGTCATCTGCGAAGAAAGAGTATTTTCTTGAAAGAGCAGTAGTAAAGGTTAACATAATTGAAAATGTGATTACTCATCTCAAGTGCGATCCAAGCCTTTGGCAAATTTCCTGCATCCATCTACCTTAATTTAAAACTACAGGTGTAGAGATTTGTAATGGAAAGCACACTGTTTTTAAAAAATTTTTTTTTTTTATTTCAGGCAATGTATCATCTGATGAACGTAAGAACAGTCTTTCTTTCGCACTTCTGCTACCTGGAAGGATGCATTTCATGTGAAATGAACCTCCTCTTTCGGTTACTTACAGATCGACCAGTATCGAGCGTGATATCGGTATGCGCTTTTCTTAATGATCTCAATGAGCTTTCAAAAGTTTCTCAAGAATGTTTGAACTACAAAATGTGATCGAAGTGTAAAACGTAAACACTATAGTAGGGTAGCCCTCAGGTGCCGTTGAAGCATGGCAGAGTTCGTTAAAGGAACTAAGTATGCATCATTTGCGCATTAATTAGCTAGAGTAAAGCAGATGGAATCATCATAATTAGTGGATTGTTGAAGATAGTGGAAATGTAATGACGAGCATTCGGAGGTGTATTACTTGTGGTGTATTGCTAGAAGACACATTATCGAATGAGTAGAAATTGTGATAATAGCAGAATTGTTTCTTTGTTGTACTTCTAGGCTAAGAATTTCATGAAAACTTTCCGATCCATCGATGATGGTAAAAAATGGGCAAATGCAGTTGCTAATGCAGGTTTGGCGGAAGCAGTTCACTTATTTATGAAAGCTTTCAGCAAAGTACTGGATAAGGTGCGTGTTATTAATTAATTTTAAAGTGAGGTTGGTTTATAAAGCATAGAATGTGTCTTTCATATTTTTATGAGATAATAAGAAAGGTGGTGTTAGCAAGTAGTGGTATCATTACTGAGATAAATTCCATTCCTTATGCTGTAGTTCATTCTTAATTATGATGTTAATAGCTATGCTTATAACAGGAACTTTCTGAAACCACAGCTGGAGTGGCGCTTCGGAAGGAGTTAGAGATTTCGTTTACTTTGAATAATCACTGTATCCGGTGTTCTGAGCATTATCAGTCAGCTCTGTCGCAGCTTTATATATCATTAGCATATCCATCAAGTAAGGGTGACATATTTTTGAAGATTTTGTTGCATTTTCTTTTACTGAATTTTTTCACTTATGTTTTCCGAATCTGCTCCAAAATAATTCGATTTTGTCGGAAATGACTTTTCCAGATAATGAGAAAATTGGATTTTGTAAATTACTCGAAAAAACATTAAACTGTCCCGAACAAAATGAAGCAATCTGCCAGAAGTGTGGGAAGTTAGCACGCTTCGCATCAACACGTCGAGTGCGTTTATTGCCAAATATTCTCGCTCTAGATATGACAGCCAGTACAGAATCGGAACAGGCATTTTGGATTTCTCATATTCAGGTTTTTCTTGTTTTGGATTTTAACTATTGCTGAAATATGCCATATTATATAAATGTGCAATGGCGCTTTTAGATATTTTCATTGAGCTAGTGGTTTCGTTATTTAGTTATTTGTTGAATTACTATCTTACATACAAATGTTGGAGTAGTTTTTACTTACTTTGTACTAATGTTATGCAAAATCTAAAGAATAATTTGCTGCAGAACAATACTTAAATTGGATCTTTAAAGATCCAATTTTGGGATGTTTTTGTTTCATTTTTATTGTTTGAGGCATTTGAAAGTCGAACGGTGATGACGTCGAGTTCGGTAACAGAGCAAAAACTAAAACCTTGTAGGTATGGCGCTGAATGCAAAAACCCTAATTGTCGGTATCTTCATAACGATGACAGGTTTATTTCAAAATATGACCTAAATTGGATTCTTTTTTTTGCCAGGAGGACAAAATTAAAAACAAGACGGTGCAAGTCTGCAGAATTTATATGTGTATTGCTTTTCATTCGTGGACGATACAATTTTAAAGTGGTAGTTATAAGGTACTCACAATTTTACGAATTTTTATTAGTAATCAGGTGACCCGGAAGAAGTGGTGAAGACGGCAGGTCTGAACGAAATAAATTTTTTGTGCGTTGTATCTCAGAACTGCTTCATTAGAATTGAACAATCTTTATGAACAGTTCACTTTACTTGTTTTTAAAGCTCACGACTAATCTCATATTTATTTTAGTAAACCGGAAACAGTAGCACCAATAACCGGAGGCACTACCTCATATTCTGAATGCCCTCACTATCTGCCGAACTCAGTACATATCAAAATAACGGATGGTATTTGCACGGTTTCGGAAGTAACAAAATTTTCGAATCACTTAATTGAATTTCTTTAGTTTTGATATCTGCAGAAGTTTATTAGTATTTTAATAGTTTTCATTCATTAAGTTTGTAATCTTTCAAATTTAGAATAAAATGGAAAGCAGTACATCATTTCATCTATCAGCAGCCATATTTATCATTAACCAAAATGAAGAAAAGGAAACTGAAGAGCATTTGGTCACTGCTATCAAATCAAAACAGGTAAATAATTATTTCGTTTTTAATTCACTTTTTCTGTTTTTGTGCTGATTAAGTACTTGTGCTTTCAAGGATTCTTGCTGGATATTGTTCAACAATTGGTCTGTTACACGAATCTCAGAAAATGAAGCATTACATCTACATGCTTCCTGGAAATTACCAGCTGTCTTGTATTATGTGCAGGATAGAGAAAATAGTGGCAAAGAAGGTATTGATTTTATCGATGCCTTATTTAAGCTGTTTAAAGGAAAACGAATTCTCATATATATGAGTTCCAGCTGCCAAAGATGAAAATCGCGCTATAATTCCACGATCTGTATTCTGGAATGATCTGGAATCGAACAAAGTTAAGATACCGGAACGAGGGAGTGAAGTTGCGATCTATGCGAAATATGCAATCAGCGAAGTGCTGTCTACCGATAGTTTCAATTTTTAATACAGCCTTAAAGTTATTTCGTTAATAACTTTAAATTTCGTAATATAATGAACAATAGTCACAGCTTAACTGCAGTGAGTTTAGTAATTGGACAGCCAGCATTATGAATTTCATTGTTTTGAATGAGATCATATCACTATTAAGAAATATACTGGTCGCATGCTGAATATTCTGAGAGATATAACTTGAATTTCATCCTAATTTCTAATTTTAGACTGGCGAAAAGTCAGTATCTGAGGTTTCTGCAGTCGACGAAAATGGCAGCTGTTTCATGAACAGTGTTATAAAGGAACCAGGAGCAAAGAGTGATGTAGATAATTCACAGACGCTAAAGAGAGTGTCTTTGAAACTTCTATACTTGATTCAAGAAAAAATGACAATTATTGGACACAAAATTGAACATCTATTTGAAATGCTAAACATTCACGTAAGGATTTCGCGCATTTAATTTTTCACATTATCCAAGACAATGCCATTAGAAATGAATCGCTTTTATCATCACGATGAAGATGTCACGCTTCTCGTGGAAACTTCGTTTTTGATTATTTTAAAGACGTTCTTTTCCCCTCCAATTCTGCTAAATTTTTTTTTTCAATTAAGCAGGTATTATATGGCAACCTCACTAGTGGCTATCCAGTAATTTTGTTCTGCATTATTTCCATTTTCTATTATAACTATACACGCTGAACATGAATGTGTATTAGTTTCTTAAAGGCGGTTGTTGCATTCATCTTGCGTGACTCTTGCATAGAAGCACACGTTTTTTGTGAGCTTCATCTATTTATTATAAAGTTTTAGGTGCCGGAAGAGCAAGTAAAAGACATTGTGTCACTTTATCGTTCATTGTTCAAGCGTTCGCTTTCGTTAAATGCTTTGGCACAACATTTTTTCGGTAGGTTTTGATCTCTTTTAATTTTAATCATTTTAAAAGAATATAATTTTTGGAGCCTAGAAAATCTTTTCGAAAATTTTTTCCTAAGGCTGGGTAAAAAGATTGTTTTTGTGGTTTGTGTTGTTTAATGTTGTAATTTTGAAGCAGTATTGAAATAAACTAGTAACATCAATGTGTACATGCAGGTGAGTCAATGGAAGAGGATGAAACCGATCCGATCGATCTTGCTCGTCTGTCGCTCCGATTGCACACAAAATTCAACGAATTAAAAGAAGCCGACGAGGCAGATATCAGTATTACCGCACTAACCCAGTCAACAGAAACAAATTTTTCTTAAATCTAACAATTTTTTTCATATTCTCTTTTTAGGCTTACAAAATTGAGGTTAGAATTTTTTGCAATTAGCGGTATAAACAAAAGTTCTTTGTTGCAAATCGTATTTCATATTTTAGATGTGTTTGTCCCAGAAAAGTTCCAGTGCAATAAAATATTTCTTTATATAATGTTGGTAATAAAAATATGATGATAGGTAGAAAAACCATCACCCAAAAAAACTCAGAGCAAGGGCAAGTCTATTTTTTGGAGTTTTACCTCTTATTAATTAATTCAGTCCTGTATTCTTGTTCTTGTTCTTTTCCTGCATATTTTCTTATTTCTCTTGTTGTATATATTTTTCATTCCTTCATGTATATGCAATTTTTCAGAAAATGAATGCATGTTGTAATTTAAATGTTGTAAAATGAAATCCTGTATAATTTGTAATTTGCTTATCTATTCATTTTTTCATTTAAAAAAAAACGTATTCATATCGTGTATGGTAAAAATATTTTTCGAAAAAATTTTTTTAATCTTATTAAAATGTTATTTGCAGCATACTTATCGATGATTAAGGATTTAAGTGAACATATATGTGAGATTCCAACAAGATGGAAAGAGTATTTATGTACGTGAGATTTTCAACGAAATGAAAAAGATTGTATAAACAAAAAAAAAGAAGAAATAAGATAAATAATTTCTCCAGCATTTATGCAGAGAAATTTTTGTGTTTTTATACTTTCAAAATCTGTTAGGGTTATCGAAGCATTCAGCATAGCCAACCTTCCGGCATCCAGTATACTCTAGATGTTTTTTCACTTTTAAACGAAAATTGCTTTTTTCCTAAACTGAAAGGTTGCTGATGTATTAGCCTTCTAGAAATTACATTGAAAGATTTTTAGGGAAGTGGAACGATATCAACGTTTTGAATACCAAAAATCGTAGATGATCTAATCATAAGCACGAGACAGGTTTTTTTTTTGCTTGTTTATGATAGATTAGTTGAAGTCTGCAGCTGTGGTATTCAATGCGTCGACGAGACATTCTGTAGCTGTTAATTGGTACCTTTTCATAATACTTCGAATGTGCCCACTTTTATCGTAGAGTGGTTGCTATTGAGATAGTTTTTATTTTGATTTTCCAAATTTTTGTTAGATAAACGGTTACAGTCAAGTTAATAAACTTAAATCCTTGTTTTAGAATGCATAATCATCCTATGAAATATCCAATGCGTCTACTGGTCGATATGACCAAGCTCCAGCAGAATTTATATGCCTCAACAATTTCTAATGAAGGAGTTGTTAACCGTGACCGTCTGCGACTTTTCATACGTGCTGGTAATGGAGGACAAGGATTGCAACGGTTTAATGGTACTGGAGGGAATGGTGGTGACGTGATTATGGTTGGAGATTCGAAAATGACTTTCGAAGGGATGCTGAAAAATGCTAAACATCAAGTATTGAAAGTACAAGCTCAAAGTGGCCTGGATTCATCACAAACCTCTCTCATTGGTATCAATGGAAGGCCAAAAATCCTCAAGGTACCGGTAGGTGTCGATGTGATAAACGCGGAAACGAAAATGTTGATAGCACGTTGTTCACGACCACTTTTCAATTACGTAATAGCACGAGGTGGTCGTGGAGGTTGCGCTGAAAACTGCTTTCAAGCAACTGCTGGTGAGCGGTTTTTTATCGATCTCCACCTTAAGCTTCATCCAAACATTGGTCTGGTTGGATTCCCCAATGCAGGGAAATCGACACTTATGAAGGCATTGGTACCAAAAAAAAGAATCAAAATAGCGAGTTATCCATTTACAACAGTGAAACCTCAGATTGGTTATATTAATGACTTTGGGTCGGAGTTAGAATCCGCTGACGATGATGAAGATTCGTTCAGTTTATCAATCGCCGATTTACCAGGATTGATAGAGGGAGCAGCACTGAATCGTGGGAGAGGTCGA